AAAAACCAAAAAAAAAAAAAAAAAGAATGGGTGAATCTGGAACCAGTGGGATGGCTCAGTGGGGAGGTGTTTGCTGTACGAGCTTGATGATCTCTTTGATTCTCGGAGCCCCTCACAGCGGAAGGAAAGAAATGACTCCCTGAGCTGTTCCACAAAGTGGTACTCACACATGGACATCATACACACACACCCCCACACACAGATAGACAAATAAATAAACAACCCCACCCATCTTTTTCCATTGTTCTAACCACACTTAACTCATACTTTGTTTCATGCCAACCCCAAACCACAACAAACACAAATGTCCGCACCGCCCACACAAATCCTGTACTCCCTCCCGACTTCTGCAAAGCAGTCTCCCTTTAGACATTTTCATAAAAGCTTAATCTGAGTTTTTACCTCCTCTGTGAACCTCTTTCTACCTTTCCTTGTTTCCAGACTATTCTGTCTTGTACAGACTCTGTGATCATGCATTCCATTAGCTCCTGTTAGGTACAGCTGTGGGACAGCAGAACCCTATTTTCAACTCTGAATTACACCTTGCTCCTTGTGCACAGGACAATTTCAGACAGCATAAGCATTCAGAAAAAATGTCTACTACAGTTATAGACATACATCCTTTTCTATAATCAGTGACCGTGGTTAACAAAACATCATGTACATTGTTCTTTCCTAACATCAAAAGATGGATTAGATAATCATCTGTAGCAGGGTTTTCCCAAAGTCCTAATCATTGAGTAATACTTAGACTTCCATACATGACAAATAATGCTTTGTTTGCAAAATTAATTAAAAGATGTACTTTTAAAAAGACAAACTGCCTTAGAAGAGATTCCTAATTATTCTAATATCCAATTGAATATTGAATCAAATATTTAATTATTCAAAAATCCAATTAAATATTGAATCAAATATATACTGAATCAAATCAAGTATAGTTATAAGGCTTATAGTTGAAAGAGGTAGATTTTATTTACCAAGGTACTAATAAAAGTACTTAAAAAGAGAAGCAGCCCCAAAAGAGGAAATAAAAGCCCATATAAAAATTCAAATGTTCCAAATAATCTTAGCCCTTGACATTTATTATGTGGTGGGGAGAGTAAAGATGTCTGATTCATAGCTTAGCAGTAGATTCCCACATATTTACTTCATCATGATCTGAGTTCAGGAGTGCTGTCCTGAGACCCTGCCAGTGCAGAACAGACAGCAGAAAGAGAGAGGCTGTCCACTTGCCTCCCCCAACCTCTGCCTATGCAATCAGGAAAAGCTTCATTGAGGGACCCAGACCCTAGGACAAGAATCAACGAAACGCACATCGTGTGAATCCAAGCCACAGTGTTGACTGCTTGTCTTTCCAGAATGAGGACAGCAAGAGAGCAAGTCTTCTGGCATGCTCCTCAGGGCCCTTCCAGCTCTACTGAGAATCCTGTTCCTATCTCAGAGCCAGCACACTGCTGACCACAAAGGTTCTCTATCAGAAGAGCACACCCTTCAATCTACTCCAGGATCCACTTGCAACTGAACAAGCTATCTGAGTACTCCACACTGATTGCAGCTGCACATGAACTCCAGGCCAGACTCTGCAGTTTAGGACCTAGTCCTGAAGCAGGCTTCGAGAGATCAGCATCCTCATCACCTCATTGCTACCTGCAAAGGGGAACAAGGAAGGAGTCAGTAGGTAAAGGGTAGTCATGGATTTAAACTGTTGCTTCTTTTGTAATTATCAAAAAACGACAGTGTAAGAAACAGTATTTACATTTGTTGTTGTTTGGTTTGAGACTGGCTCTAATGTAACCCAAGCTGTACTTGAACTACACATACAGTTGAGGACGACCTTGGATGTCCTTGAACTCCTCACCTTCCTGTCCCCACTAGTGCTAGCATTACAGGTGTACAACACCACACCCAGTAATATTCATGCCTTAAATTTTTTAAATTACACATATTTATTGTGTGAATGAGTGTGTGTGCGCGCGCGTGTGCGTGTGCGTGTGCGTGTGCGTGTGCGTGCCCATGCCATGGTGTGCATGTGAAGGCCAGGGGACAACTTGCAAGACTGCTTTGCTCCTTCCACCATGTGGGTCCTGGGGATCAAATTCAGGCCTTTTACCCACGAGCCATCTTGCGGGCTCCGTGAGACATTTACATTTTTTTTTTTTTTTTTTTGGTTTTTTCGAGACAGGGTTTCTCTGTGTAGCTTTGCGCCTTTCCTGGGACTCACTTGGTAGCCCAGGCTGGCCTCGAACTCACAGAGATCCGCCTGCCTCTGCCTCCCGAGTGCTGGGATTAAAGGCGTGCGCCACCACCGCCCGGCTAACATTTACATTTTTTAACACCTCTCCTGATGACAAAAATGACTGTATTAACAAGTAGAAGAAAAATGGTATAACTCTAATTTTAAAATTTTAATCATACTTGTAAAGGGATAGGAAAAAGTCCAAAGAATTTAACAACAACATATATATATATATATATATATATATATATATATATATATATATATCTTAGATATAGAAACAGGAGTGTTTTTTTTCTTTTACTTTTTGTGTATTTTATAGATTTTCAATAATACATATTTCTTTTGTAATCAGAAAACTGAAGCATAAAATAAAACATTTGCCTTGAAGGAGGGAAATTAATAGCTCATTTTATTTTTAATAGTGGCCTTCAGTACATACAAAATACAAAGTAAAGCCCTTGCGGGAACAATAATCACATTGTCTCAAAGAAAGCCAAATCCAAACTTCCTTGCAAAAGGGTGACATTTCCCACTCAAAAAACTCTGCAAGTTTAATTTCAGTATAAGGGCCTGAGCCAAATACAGGTTAGAGCTTGTTTGGATAGAAGGTGGTCCTTTAGGATTCGAATTCAGACATAGGGAAAGCAGGGCTCAAACTGTTCCCACACCGGTGACCACAGCCTTCACTCGGTCCACTGGAGCAGAAACTCTGAGGGTGGGACCCAGGAGCCTACTTAAAATCCTCCCGAGGAAGATTATGGTGCTCACTCAGGTGTGACATGAATCCCTTTGAAGGCAGGGAAGCACAACCATAAAATACCCTACACTGTTTCACCAAGAGTCACAAGACAAGTCTCCATCCCACGCTTCCCCAGTCCTGTGACAGCCCTGGCTGCCTACACAAGCCGGGACAGAGCTGGGCTCCTTCTAGACTGACGCACTGATTGCTGAATGGAAGACGCACTCTGCACCTGACTAAAAGCTCACGCAGTTGCCCAATAGATGTCTGTAAAGAACAAAGCCACACGCTGACGATTTTACTAAACACTAGCAATACCAGAAATACTGACAAGGACGACATTTAGACAATGTGGCTGCCAAACTACTTTTGGAAGTTTAGGATCCCTGAGGTTCAAGTCCTTTACAACGGCACAAAATACCACCAGTGTGCTTTCCAACAAGACTGCTCGTGTACTAGCTTGGTTTGAGCCTTCTCTGAAATCTACAAAAAGAAGTGGCGTGATGCCTCACTCATGAGGGTGAAGCGGAGTCTCCTGGCGCCCAGCTTAGAGTGCTTCCTAATGCAGCGGGAGACCAGCTTCAGGGAAGGGCCGAGGAAAGGAAGAATGGAGGAAAAGACACAGGGCCTGGCAGGACCCCAGCTCAGAAGTACTGAGACCGGCTGGGAAGAGCATAGCAAGAGAACGACTTCTGCAAAGTTTTACCTTCTAGGATCTGGTGGACCCTGGAGTCCCGCATATACTGCTGAACAGCATAATCCTTCAGGTAGCCATAGCCCCCATGCATCTGCAAAGCCTGGTTGCAGATCTGCTGGGAGACAGGGAGTAGATAGATGTCTTTGATCCCAGGAAGCCTGTGGAGTCCTTGGCTCCCCTCCACACTCCAAACCTCAGTCTGGCAGTCGAGAACAAACAGAGCCCAAGAGAAGCTCCAGATTCTAAATAGTCAGACAAGACACAAAGGCAGTCTTCCTACTTAACCAGTCAAACAATGCACAAACATCCACACTGCTTCTTCATGTGATCCTGGAGGCAAAGCTGCCTACAGTCACCCATTGACTGATCATAGGAAGTTCATGCGCCACCTAGTGGCAATGTAGTCTCAGCGTGGAGACAGCTCCGTGCTGAAGTAAACATGGCAATTAGTGCTACATTTGGGCTATTTTGAACATTGCAAAGATGTGCTTCTTCCAGAACACATCTGAGAGACAGAGTCTTCCTGATGCATTTAACACCATGGAAAAGGCTACAAAGGCAGTAGGGAGAGCTCTCTTGCAGGCCTTTCAAAAAGTCGTTTGTAACCCTAAGCCCCAAGGTGATTCCTTCACTGTCTCAGGAGGCTAGGGTTCTATAGATGACTCATCTCTCTCAAAATCCCTAAGCACAGCAGCTCTTCCTGTCTACATCAGGAAGGCCAGAAGACTTATCACTTACAGTGAAGCATTCCTCTGTAGCAAAGAGCTTGGCCATGGAGCACAGGGCCACTGCATCTTCCCGCTCCTCCTGCAAAGCCACTGCGGCAGTACGGATCATCAGCCGGGAGGCAACCAGCCTGGTGGCCATGTCCGCTAACTGGAACTGCAGGTACTACAGCCACAGGAGAGGATGAAACCAAAAAGGACACATGGTTTTTAGACAGGCCATCTGGGATCTGATCGGGAACCACTGGTAAGACATCTTGAGCTGGCAAGCTGGCTCAGCAAGTAGAGGTCCTTACTTATACACAGATCTGACCATCCGAATCCTACCCCAAGATGACCCCATGCGTGGCAGGAAAGAACCAACACCTGAAACTTATCCAAACCTCCACATACACACTATGACATGCATGTAATTGCATGCACCTCCACATACGCACTGTGACATGCATGTAATTGCATGCACATCTGTGTGTGCGCATGCGTGTACACACACACACACACACACACACACACACACACACACACACACACATCTCAAGTTAGGTGCCTTGTCTAAGTATATCAAAGTCTTTTGCCACTTCTAAAGTCTGCTTTGCTTGGTATTACTGCCTCCTGAAAAAAGGCACAGGTACTTGTAAAACATACATTCTGATTAAGATGGGGGAAAGGTCTTCATGGGATATCAGCCCCACCCAATTCCACCAAGAACAGGGGCCCCAGGGAAGATCTCAACAGAATACAAATGCAGACCCCGGGTGTCTTACTTGGCTTCTGGCTAGAGGTGCTCCAAACTGCTTCCGGACCTTTAGGTGCTCTTGGGTAAGGATAACTGAAGCATGAGCAGCCCCAAGAGAGCAGGATGCTAGAGAGGAGGAGTCAGGACTTCAGCTGAGCCTGAATGGCAGTGGCTAGCCTCAGCTTTTGCCTTCCTTCCCCAATTCCTTTTGGGCCTCACCAACATTGATCCTCCCGCCGTTCAGTCCTTTCATGGCGATGAGAAAGCCTTGCCCCTCGCTTCCAATCCTGTTGGCCACAGGGACAGCACAGTCTTCAAAGATCACTGCGCGGGTTGGCTGGGAGTTCCACCCCACCTGGCAAAAATCAGGGTCTGGGTGGCTGCCCAAGGATTCCCCTTCCCTGTGGACAGAAGCTTGTAAAGTCTGGGTTCCAGCACCCTGGCACTTAAACCCATCAGAACACAAAACAGAAGACGAAAAAAGTTCAGATGTAAAAGTTTATCAATACTTAGAGAGATGCTTATTTCAGGTAAACAGTGTTTTGTTTATCTGTTAACATGGGCTTTCTTACTCTGTAGTCTGGGCTGACCTGTGGCATGCTCTTGCTGCCTCAGGCTCCTAGTGCCGGGGTTACAGGTATGAGTCACCATGCTTGGCTAACACAGTGTAACACATTACACAAATCTACTTTGTATACTCTAGCTACAAATACCTGTCACTTCTTGTAGGATCAGGTCCAGATCCGTCCTCATTTTCAGTGCCTCTGTGAGTGCTTTTCGTCTATGTGCTGCCAAAGCGAGCACGAAAAGTTAACTTTTAAAGGCCTTCTGAACAATCACCACATTTTCCCTAAAAGGCACTATAATTAGACAAGGTAAAGGACATGCACCAGAGAGCCCTGATGTGGCATTTAGCTGCAATGACACTCAGTGGGATGTCGCCTCACTAGAGCCAATTATACCGCATTTCCTAACCTGGCCATTCAATGACCTTGCAACGGTGTTTGAAGTCAGCCATTGAATTGGCAAATGCCACAAATACGAGTTTTTGTTCTGTTTCTCCAAGAAAAATGTCTTTCTGGAACATCACTGGATATGTCAGATGTAAGCCCAGAAAAACTTCAGAACGCTTGAAAGGCAGCCTCTGTCCCAGATCTACCTGGGCATAATTTCCATCTTTGGATAAGCTTGACTACTTTGTGACCTTTGTTTCCTTATGTAAGTGTTGACCTAGGAAGTTCGTAGATCCTCTTAGTGAAGTCTCCAACGTTTCATGCCTAAACAGAAAGGCCTCACTCCTCATCCCTGTCAGCTCCTCATCGAGGTACTCAGGAACTCAAAGGAACTTCAGGTTCAGCAAGGTAGCTCATGAAAACCAGGACCTAGACACACCGCCTGAGCTCCCTCCCACCTGGAAGACATGGCTTTTACATCATTCCTAACGTACAAACTTCTAGCCAGGCATGGTGGTGCCTGCTTGCAGGCAGCCACTAGACACAAGAAGCAGTGAAAGTAAGATATACAGAAGGAAAGAAAAGTAAAAAGCCCGAGGCTAAAGATAGATAAAGAGAAACAGGTTAGTTTAAGTTAAAAGAGCTAGCCAGAAGTGAGCCTAAGCAAGGCCAAGCATTCAAAACTAATAAGTCTCCATGTCATGCTTTGGGAGATGGTTGGTGGCCCAAAAGAAAAGGCCTGGTATGTTTTACAGACAGTCATAGAAAAAAAGTAAGTAGTTGATAAATAATAAAAAAAGAATAAGCCACATAGAGATGGGAAATACACAGAGAGTCTGGATCCTATAGAATATTATGTTGTCTTTGAATTTTTTGATTGCTGACAAGCAAAAGATAGCTGCTGGGAGACATGGGATTGTGGAAGAGACTGCTGAAATAAACCAGCCTAGATAAAATGCCTTAACTTTAAAATAGAAGTTTAAAAATGTATTGCTTTGGGGAAGAGGTTGTGCTTTTGTTTCCACAGGAAATGAAAGGCTGTGGATTCATTCAAGGTTAATAGAGATCAGGTTTAATTGGGGAAGACCCCCTGAAACCTGGTCTACCTCTACCTTCTGGAAGACCTGCATGCCTAGACAACTGTGTGAACAACCATTCCTGTTCAGTCTTTTTACTCTTCTGCATATTGTCCTCGCTTCCAGAACTCCATGACAAAACTCATTCTCCCATAGAAAGCCTCTTAAAAACTAAATCCAAGATAAAGTAAATAATTACCCTCCTATAAAGTGGGAGGTTAAAAACTCTCATTAATATTGTTAAGAATGCTAACTGAAAGAATCCAGCCCCTATCTTGCTCACTGCAACCCCACCTACACGCACCAAAATTCTTTTTTGCTTCTGAAAATAGGCAAATATTTTTGTTTTTATAATTTTGAGGTGTGTGTGTGTCACATGTAGCCTGGGCTGGCCTAGTACTTGCAATCTTACTGCCCCAGACTTCCGAATGATGGAATCATATATGTGCACCACCATGCCCAGCTGTAGAGATTCTATACAGGTAAGTCCAAACAGGGCTAGGAATGACTAAGGATTGCTGTGGGATATTACCGTGTGAAGATGTGTTGCTGTTATTGATGTAATAAAAAGCTGAACGTCCAATAGCTAGGCAGGAGGTACAGGTGAGACTTCCGGGGAGAGAAAGGAAGAGGAGAAGGAATCTCAGCATGCAGGGATGACAGGAGACACAGAGAGGAAACAGGATGTTCAAGGTGGAAGAGAAGTAACATGATAGAACATAGATGGATAGAAACGGGTTAATTTAAGTTATAAGAGCTAGTAGAACAAGCCTAAGCTATCAGCCAGACTTTCATAATTAACAATAAGTCTCCATGTTGTTATTTGGGAGCTGGCTGGAGGGACAGAAAAAGACTCCTTACAAAGGATTCTGCATCCTCCCAGGAGCCAGCACATAGTTTTGAACACTGTAGGCATCTAATAACCTGTTATGCTACAAAAGAGAGGAGGCACTAAAACCTATATATGACCCCTTGGCAGTTGTTAAGAGCCAAAAAGCATCATGAAGAAAAAGAAGAAACCCTATGTAGATGTAGGAAGTATTCAGGGGTCATTTCATAACTGACTTATCTCCCGAAACCCTGAACTAAGGACAGCAACTGTACTCCTTGTTTTGATTATCTGTCCTGAAAAAACCTCCTCACTTATCAGCAATTACATTATCACAAGTTTCCTGTTCAGGGCTTGCGTGTGGGGTTTCTCAACCCTAGGAGTATCTTAGTTTTCAAAGCACTTACAGAAACAAGTCCTGAGATGGCTGAAACATCTACAGCCTCTCCCTGTCGATGAGTGTTTTATTTTTGTCTAGAGAAGAAAAGTGTCCTGAGACTTCTGACAAGCATCAGATCTTCGGTAAGTATCTCTTTCTGGGGTAGCGAAGTGTGGTGAAAGCTGAGTTAGAAACACAGGACAAGAGCTTGGGAGATGGCCCAACTCGCAGGGCGCTTGCCGTGTCTGCACAAGGACCCGAGTTCAATCCCCAGTACCCACACGGGAAGCCAGGTGCAGCTGGGAAGGGGCTGACAGGAGGAGCCCTGGAACTCACTGGTCAGCCAGTCTCACTGACAGGGCAAGCTCCAGGTTCATGAGGAGACGCTGTCTGGTCAGGCAAAGGGAGGAGGGAGGCAGATCTCTGTGAGTCTGAGACCGGCCTTGTCTACATGAGAGCAGCCAGGGCTACATAGTGAGACCCTGCCTCAAAAACAGTAACAACACACGTAAAGGAATTAAATTAAAGGAGACCCTGGTGGGAACACGAGGCGGAGAACAATCAAGGAAGGCACCCAACATCAACGCCCCTCCAACACATGCACACGGCACAGAAACAGAGAAAAAAGACAGAACAAAAGTTGACACAGAAACAAGAGAATTTAAACAGTGGCCGCTTAGGAAATCGGCCGGCAAAGTTGGCCTTTCCCCAGGAGTCTGTTTCTTTAGCAATGACGTCTCCGCGACATACCCACTCGTGAACCTATTCCGTGAAAATGGGCAGGAGGAGTTGGTCTAGCAGACAGCACAGACAACTCATAACTTGAGTTGCTTACAATTGAGTAGCCACTCACCTTCTTCTCCTTCTTGCCAAAGCTGAGGCCAGGGGTTCCCTTCTCAACAACTACGCAGGAGATGCCTTTGGGGCCCGATCCTCCAGTTCGGCACATGACCACATAGATGTCTGACTCACCACCCCCACTGATGAAGGCCTGTGGGTGGAGAGGGGGAGGATGAGGACCAGCGAATGCAGGCGTTCTGAGCCTGACCTCTGGGAAAGCCACTGGAAGACTTCTGAGGACAGAGCAAAGGCACAAGGCAGAGAACGGGTGAACGGGAAAAGGGTGACTAAGTCCCTGATCCTCTGCCAGTGCCTACAGGACCCGGGACTTAGTCTGTAAAACTAGAAACGAGACGAAAATCCGTGCAATTGTTCTAACCGGATCGTAGAAGACACGCAGTGAGATTCTCTTCCCAACATGTAAACCTGTACATGGGAATGCGAGTCCACAGACTCAAAGGAACCGGGGGCTATCAGGAGGCATGAGGGAACGGCCCCTGGCTGCCAGGGGAGTGCACGCTCTTACCTTGGAACCATTGAGGACGTAGTGATCTCCTTGTCGTTTGGCTGAGGTCAGAAGAGAGGCAGCATCACTTCCACTTCCTGAAGTTGGGACCAAAAGGGGACAGACAGGGAAGGGCGTCAGCGAAGCTACAGCAGCTCAGCACAGCTCCACGTCCTCGAAATCTTCCTCAGAGAGCTCATCACGCACTACTTTAAAATCCGCATGGCCAAGGAATTCCGCACACTTGGTAGAAACTGCTTACACCCAGCCGTCCACTGCCTCTCTAACAAACCAGCTAACGGTGCTGTGCAGCCAGGAGGAACTCTGACTTAAAGGCCCCTGGGACCTATACTCCACAACCAAGTGCTTGGTAAACGGGTCAGGAGCCGGTGCTCAAGGCTGCTCAGTGGCCACACAGGCTCCACCTCTCTCCTTGCTGGGTGTCACTTGCAGGGGGGACAAACGCACCTGGTTCCGTGAGGCAGTAGGAAGCAAACTTCTCCATGGTACAGAGCGGTGGACAAAATTTGTGCCTCTGTTCCTCATTTCCAAAGCGATCAATCATCCAGGCACACATGCTGACAAGAAACGGCATTGGCAGAGATGAAGACAGAAAAGAGAATTGAGGGGGCGGGGATGGGGGTGGGAAAAGAAACAAAGAATGAATGAAAGCAGGAGAGAGTGGGAAAAGGAAGAGAGACAAATGAGAAGCTTCTCCTCCAAAGGAAGGGACTCGTTTAAAAACATTGCTTGAATACGTATACCTGAGGCCCAGGTGTTTCTCAGATTAACGAGTCCTAAAAATCAGAGATAAATGTACTTCCTATTACTGTCTCCAATTACTGGAGGTTTCAGCTGTAGATTGAGGAAAACTGGAGAAGTCTGCTGGTACCAAAACTGGGACTGGGGAGAAAGTCAGCAGAACCGATTCCCTAAGCACTAATATAGAAGACAACAGAATCAAACCCAGCAGCCAGCTGCAGACCCACTGTGTACCAGTACTAGCTTAGTTTTTCAAGTACAAGCAGCCCAACACGATTCATCGTCTTCTCATGTGAGCGTAGCCCTTCACCATGCTTTTGAGTGTGAATACTCACTTGTGGATGCTTATATAGGCCGTGGTGCTGGTGCAGCCCGTGGCCAAGGCTTCGAAGATGACAGAAGTATCGAGGCGAGACAGTCCAGACCCACCCACGTCTGTTCGTACGTAGATCCCCCCAAAGCCCAGCTGCGCTGCCTTCCGCATCACGTCCACAGGGAAGAGCTCCTGTGGGAGAGAGAGCAAGGCAGTCGGGAGCTGGCTCTGAGGCAGGCAATGGAGGGATGCGAGTGTCTGCATCCGGGAGATTATAGGGATTCTCTTAACTTCAAATACCCTTGCTGTTTTATAGTGGCATCCGTTAACATTATGTTCACCAAAACTTTTCTATAGGACTGCTTTGATTTCATGTGTGTCTAAATCTTTGTGGTGGTATTCTAATTGTACTGAAATGTGATTTTGATTGTATGTTAATAAATAAAGTTGCCCGGGGGTCAGAGCTATTAGAGCCATAGCAAGAGTGTGGCGGTGGTGGCACATGCCTTTAATCCCAGCACTTGGTAGAAGAGCTAGATAGATCTCTGTGTGTTTAGGGATACAACCAGCATTGGAGACATTCGCCTTTAAGCAAGAGTGTGGCGGTGGTGGCACACGCCTTTAATCCCAACACTTGGTAGAAGAGCTAGGTAGATCTCTGTGTGTTCAGGGATACAGCCAGCATTGGAGACATATGCCTTTAAGACCTGGGGGGCTGTACATACAGACAGTGACAAGGCATTCACGTATTTGGGTTTACAACCAATGAGAAGGCAGAACAAAAGACTATGAAAAGACATACACACAGGAAATAGCTCTCTTTCAGGAAGCTAGGACCACCGCAGGAGGAAGGGTGAGATTTTAGCTCTGAGCTCTGACCTCTTGGCTTTCTCTTTTACATTGGTTCTGTGTTTCTTATTTAATAAGACGGTTGGTTACATCTACAATCATTGTTCAATTAAGAAAGACAAGGGACATCTACATGATGTCTGGAATGGCTTCTATGAAAAGTCTTCTACTGTTCCAGTCAGTGATGAAACACAATGATGACAAGCAACTTGGGGAAGAGAGGGTTTATTTCACTCACAGTTCCATACAACATCAAAAGCAGTGAGGGCGGGAACTCAAGTAGGGCAGGTGGCAGGAAGTGACACAGAGGCCATGGAGGGCGCTGCTTCCTGGCTTGCTTCCCAGGCCTTACTCAGCCTGCTTTCTTATAGAACCTAGGACTATCAGCCCAGAGGTGGCCTCATTCAAATGGGCTGGGCCCTCCCACATCAATCACTAATAAAGAAAATGCCCTACAGGCTTGGCTACAGCCCCATCTTCTGGAGGCATTTCCCTAACCGAGGCTCCCTCCTCCCTGATAACGCCAGCTTGTGTCAGGCTGACATCAAACTCCAGCACATCTATCATCAGTCTTCACACCTGCAGTAAGAGTTGGGGAGTGGAGAGCAGACACTGAGTAGTTAGGACTATAAGGAGGGAGAGATGAGTCATTGCAGGAGGCCTTTGTTGGAACATCTAGCCACAAGAAGACTCCTACCTTCTGATCCCACTCCGCCATATTGGGAGCCATTTCCCGAGCAGCAAAGTCAAAGGCCACTTTCTGAAATTCTTTCTGTTCTTCATTTAGTCCCAAGGAAGCTGTGAACAGAACCAGACATATCCAATTCTAGGATGGAAGTGAGAGAGCAGTTTCACTGACAAGGAATGCCTCAAAGCTGAGGACAGACCTACTACAGCATTTCCTAGACAGACCCTGTAAAAGCAAGAGAATGGTGCCATCTATTGCGTGTTTCATTGTTTTTGTTTTTGAGATAGGGTCTCAGGCTCTAGATCAGGCTGGCCTGGAGCTCCTGATCAATCACCCTGCTTCTGCTACCCGATGTGAGCATCACTACTGGTTTCCCGGGTGGAGAAGGGACAGTTCTAACATACGCACTTACCCACATTACCCTAAGATAAAACAATTCCCGGACTTCTCTTCCTCAGTTACTAAGATACAGCGATAGCCCAAAATAGGTACAGGTCTCAGGAAAGCAATGGGGAAGAACCAGGATGCACAAAGAATCTGAGTGGGAGGAGCAGGGTGCATACAAACACTAACTCATCAAACAGCATGACTATTCTTTTTAAAACATGGTTTTATTTATTTATTGAGTGTGAATGTGTATACATATGTGGGTGCATATTGGGGTCAGAGGACAACTTTTGGGAGTGCGTTCTGCGGATTACACTCAGGTCATCAGGCCTAGTGACAGGTGCCATTACCTCCACTAAGTCATCTTGCGGGCCCACCGTTCTTCCTTTAATTCCAAGTGGGTCAGCTGCCTTTTCAAAGTTGTTTATCTCCTCTTACTCATAAATCCATTTTTTTTTTTTAAATGAAGGGCTGGAGATACAAGGCAACGCAAAGGGTTGCCTCGTTGAGGTCCCTGTTCAAGCTCAGCAACGTGAAGCAAAAATAAAAAAAAAACACTGAAGCACCCAAATGACATGTTTTCTGAAGGACTGTCCCAGCTTTTCTGCGTACATTCCTTGAAACAGCCCCACCCAATCTCTGCCTATCTGGCAGCAGCCACCGTTTCCACCAACACGTGCACTTGAAAACAAATTGAGAAATCATAATCTGTGTACTTTGGCACACTTTCCAACTACGGAAGCAATGGAATAATATGGCTATACAACCCATGGATAAGACTGGTTAACAAATAAATAAAGCTGTCTTACATCAAAACAGTTAAATCTGCAGTAGAGAAGTTGAACTCTTAGGACGTTTCTGTCTTAGCCACTAGTGCTATGACCTGGTAACTGCTTCATTTCTCAGACTGAGACAAATGAAGCTTGGGAGAACGAACCGGCAGAGTGATGGTGACAGACAAGGAGGATGGATGAACGGGAACATTTTCTAAAAACTCCTAAAACTTCCAAAGGCTGCACTAGAAGAGCATCTCATCAAAAGAAATAGCGAGAGGCACTAACGTAAGTGACCTGGTCCCCTAGTGCTAAAACACAGAGTTGATTTTTACATTCCTCCTCAGAGACCACATTCCGTAAGGAAGGTAGGGCTGAATTGGAAAGCAGGATTGTCTACCAACTAGCTAGCCAGAGTCCTTTCCGTACTTTCTAAGATGAAGCAGATTTCAAGCAGATTTCTTACTTCTAGTAAGAGCTCAAGATTTGCAGGCACTGAAAGCAAAGAACTCAGGCCAAACTCTAGTGAGAAGCAGTGACCGTTCAAGACTGGAAAAGAAGACAGAACGAATTCCAGGAGCCAGAGCAGCGGAGCAGACCCAGCAACTTGTAGAGAGGGTCAGATAGGTCTACACTGCTCACATCCATGTCTCTCTTACTGTAAGAACAACTGACTCAGGTGTGCAACTATAGGAAGGGGTGAGTGCATGCCTGTACTTAGAGGCCCAGTAAAGGTGAGGGTAGTGACGAATGCGTGCGTGCGT